ATGTCATCACGTGTCACAAAGGCCCTGTGACAACCTGCCCTGTTCCATGCCATCGGCAATGCCCACCGTGTCACGAAGGGCCCTGTGACACACTGCCACCTGCCCTGGGGCCTCCCCCAGCCCAGCCACCTGCCCCAGGTCAGAAGGAGTTTGTTCTCCAAAGTATCTAAGACAGTTGGACATGAACTTTAGGCACAGTTCAAAAACTAAGCAAACCCACCCCTGCTGTGCCCGCCCACAGCAGCAGAAGTATCCCCCTCGGTTGCCAACGCAGCCGCAGCGGGAAGGGCACGAGGCCTCCACAGAAGCTGGCATGGGCTCCCTGGGAGAAATGCTGGCTGGTGGTCCTCCCAAACACAGGGCTGTGACACACAAAAGGAATGTGGGGGCAAGGGCACCAATGCTGCTCCAACCCTGTTGGCCGGGGCTGCACCAAAATCAGCAGCTCTGGCAAGGCCTCACCGAAGGAGACCTGCCACCGCCCTGAGTCCTGGCAGGAGTGGTGCCCGTCTCCTGCCCCAAAGAACTGTGCCCCTGGGGGACTTCTCTGCCAGAGGGCAGCCAAAGCCAACGGGCACTGATGTCTGTGCTCTTGCAGGGGGCTGTTGGGAGCAGCACCTGGAGCAATTGGTGGCAGCGTTCGGCATCTGTCAGAACACAGGAGCACTTTCTCCTTGCAGGAATGATTTTTGCAGGGAAGTGATGACCTGCAGCAGAAAACCACCATCAGTTGCTGAGTTTCACATGAAGATTAGATTGCTCAGAAATCCTGTCAAGCTTCCTCGTGTTATTTGGACTTTTTTTCTGCATTCTGCAAAATAAAAGCTGTCCAGTCTGACGTTCAAAGCTCCAGTTGCTGTGTGTCTGAATGCGACTCTCAGCTGATATCCAGGGCATTGGGGAAAAGCAAAGGGGATAGGGAGAACTCTGGGATGCAAACCTGTTCCGTGTCTCTGATTAAGGTGCCACCCCACTGGAAGGAGCAGCCAAGACAAGTGCTGGAAACAGATGTGTTCTGCCAGTTGCTGCTCTGGCATGGACAGAGGGCACACATGTTCCCATGGGTCCAGAACAGTTGATCCAAGAACAATGAGGGGCCATGCATTGGTAGGGAATGGGCTCCAGCAAGCCCAAAGTAGGATCCTCTAGCAGCAAAACCTGAGCTTGTGAAATGGGCCGTCTTTGCAGCAGACACCACAGTGCTGACTTCCCTCCATCCTGGAACCTGAGCCATATGAGGCCCTGCTTCAGCTTCTGCTGCTTCTTCCTTCCATTCCGGGAAGGCCTGGATTTAGAGTTTAGAAGCCCATACATGTGTTTTTAAGGTGCCTGCATGGAGGAGACTTTCAGCAACTGCACCCCAAGGCTCATATCCCATCACAGTCTCTAAGGATGGCCCCAGTGCCACTGCCTTGGGACACCTGAGTCTGGAAGGTGACTCTGCCCTCAAGCATGGCCACAGAAGTGAGCCAGGATGACAGGTTGCCCCTGAAGGTGCTAAGTGTTGTTGTGAGGCTGGGCAGTCAATAGAAAGCTGTTGTGGCCACTTTCCCTGAAGCCCTTTCCAAACCCCATGCAATTGTGTGCACAGTATCCCCACTTCAGGCATCCTGGCCGGTGTGGGTGCCTGGGTGAGGAGGCCCAGGCATCGTGGGTGCTGCTGCTCCTGTGCACAGCCTCCTGCTGTTCTCTGTGACACGGAGCTGCTTGGGCAGCAGCGACTGCGCAGCCCTGCCCCAGGAGCCCCGCGCCCTCCCTGTGCTGGCAGCAGTTCTGAGAGCCCAGAGCTCTGGCTCAGCGGGCTCTGGGCCACAGACCCGGTAGCCCAGGCTGGCCATCTGCCTCTGTTCCTCACCGGTAGCACCCAGCAGAGGTAGCCCGGCAGGGCCCCGTTTTCCCTCTTTGTCCCCAGCCAGGTCAGTCTGGCCCCTTTGGGGGTGTCCCCACCCCCCTGCCAAGGTGCCCAGGGCTTCTGCCACAGGGATGGGAGACACCACCGGTAAGCACCAGACAAGTCGGTTGTCAGGGAAGCAGAGGAAAGCTGGAGTAGTGGGCAGGAATGTAGCTCAGTGTCCCTGCCATGCCAGGCCTGGGCAGAGCCCGGGAGCTCTCAAGCAGGTGCAACCACAGGCCATGGCCCAGGGCTCAGTCTTACAAGTTCTTACACCAGGGCAAAGACCCCCACCCTGGAGGGCTTTCCAGACCGCTGCGCCCTCAGCCCCTTGCCAAGTGACCTGGAAGCTCTCAGTGGCCAGTGGGCAGGGACAGCAGCCGAGGCCGACGTGCCAGTGGCACCGACCAAGGATGGGGCCTGCTCTGAGGAGCTCTCAGACATCTGCAGCCTCCTAGAGCTGCCCCGAGAAGAACGCAGCGGAGACCAAAGCTGCAGGAGGAGAGACCAGAGGCTCCCCGTGCCCATGCCACGGGAGGCATGGTCAGAGCCCTGGGGCCTTCAAGCGCTCCCCCCCAGAGCCCGTGCTCCAGTTCGTGGCAGCAGCAGCCCTTCCATCAGGCCACAGGCTCTGACCACGGACGCCTGCACCCCCAGTCCCTGGCCAAGCCAGCTGCAAGCTTTCAGTGGGCAGCGGGCAGGGCTCCCGGACGTCTCCAGGGAGTGCCGAGGGCAAGAAAACACAGAGCCACGGCTGTCCCAGGAAGAAGACAGCCACGAAGAGGAGCTGTCAGAGAAGAAAGGGGACGGTGTCCAAATCTACACCATCTGGGTCAAGCCCTCCCTCATCCCGGTGCTGCTGGAGCCTCAGCCTGCTGGCCAGCAAGGGCCCAAATGTCCCTGCATCATCTGTGCAGAGGCGGCCCAAGAGGCAGTCGGGGACAGGCGCGGCACATCTCCTGCCCCGGCGGGTCCCAGGCACAGCCCCACAGGCTGCTGCCCCGCCGTGCTGGACACGCTGCAGCGCATGGCACGTGCCACCCTGAGCCGGATTGCAGCTGTGATCCGCCCACGGGGCCAGCAGCCGGGGGAACAGCGGCCCCCGGCTCAAGGCATGCATTCAGCCAGGCTGGCAACAGCCCCAGCAGCAGGGCCAGAGAGCCAGGCAGCTGCCCTGCACCGCCCCTGCTGCCCCCCCAGCCCCTGGCCCAGCCAGCTGGAAGCTCGCAGTGGGCAGGGGGCAGGGGCAGCAGCAGAGACGGTCCTGCCCCTGCCACAGAGCCAGGAGGGGGCCTGCTCGGAGGATGAGAGTCTCTGGGACATCTCCAGCCTCTTAGAGCGCTGCCAAGGCCCAGAAAACACAGCCCCAAGCTGCAGTAGTGGCAGAGCAAGTAGCTCTGGCTCCCTCCCATCGGAGGCATGGGCAGAGCCCTGGTACTCTTCATCGGCCACATCCACCTCCACCTCCACAGACTGAGCTGCTGGGGGCAGTCTGGCACGTGGCCTTACCACCTGCAGCTGCCCTTGAAGGAAGAAGGCCTTTTTCCAACTAGACAAAGCCCAAAGAAGAACTTCAGGGAACTGCAGGCCGTCAGGAAGGCCGCTTGCTGGGAGGACGACTTGCTGGCGTGGGACAGACGGTCTTTGGAGCGTTGGCAAGTCAAGCCCTCACCTACAGCTCTCTCAGCACAGCGGCCCTCTCTCTTCAGGGAGGCACACCGGGCTCCGTGCAGGGCGTTGCGCTGGCCCTGCCTGGCGGGACGGGATGGCAGCTGCCAGGCTGTGGCGGTGACCGGACTGACATCCACCTGATGGCCAGTCACCAGTGCTGTGGCCCAGGGCTCAGTGGTGGGGCCAGTCCTCTGGGTCTCTTGCCTTGGATTGCCCTTTGCCCAGTCATCCAGGACTTCACCTGACTGCCACCATTTTTCCAACACCATGGCTAGTGGCCTAGCAACTTGGTCTGCCAGCTCCCTCAGGACCTGGGGATGAACCTCAGCGGGTCCCTTGTGCGCATTCAGGTGCCTTACACGCTCTGCAACCTGATCCTCTGCGGCAGGGGACTTAGGCTCTTCTTCTACCAGTCCCTGCCTTTGCCTTTCTCCACTTGGCTGGCGTGGCTGGAGCACTTGCTGTGCAAGGCTGAAGCACAGAAGACATCGAGAGCCTCAGCCTTGTCCTTGTGCCGGATAGCCACGGCTGCCAGTTCCTTCTGGAGAGGGCCCACCTTATCCCTAGGCGCTCTTTAGAAAGATAGCCTTAGAAGCCCTTCCTGTTCTCCTGGAGAGCTCTGACCAGACTCAAGTCGAGCTGGGCCTTGGCTTTCCCACCCTTGTCCCCAGCTTCCCTACCCTTGTCCCCATCCTCCCAGGCCACCTGTCCTTCTTTCCATTCCCTCAAATAGGAGAAGAAGTCCCGTTAAGTTCTGTAGCTTCACGTAGGGGTAGGCAACAATTAGGTCAGTTCAGTTCCATAGGATAAAGTAGGGTTAGGTCTTTCCTAGTGCTCTCCACTTGAATTTCAAAGGACAAGCTAAAGCCCGTCTCATGCTTTCTATTCCCATTGCATGACAAAAATTACCAGCGGTGCTTTAGCATGGGCGCTGCCCTAGGAGAGCCTAGTGTTTAAGGTAGACTTGGGGAAGTTTAAAATAAAGATTGGTTTGGACGGAAAAGGATCAGGAAGCTTGTGTTTTGAAAGAGAATCATATTCCGGGCTTGGGCTAGGACTTGTTCCTTAGGCAGCTGAGCGGTGTCCCTTGGCGGGGGTGGGTGCACTAGAGCTGTCCTGGAGGCTGAAGGCAGCAGCGGGACGTCTGTAAGCAGAGCTGGGGAACAGCCAGCCAGTGGGTCTTTCCTTCTTGGAAGCCCAAGTTGGCTTTTCAGGATCTCCTGAGGTTGGTGTGTTCCTGCCCTCCGTTTTCGAAGGAGGACTTCTTGGAAGACGTGTCTTGCGGGGCTGGGCCGCTGCTAAATGACAAGAGACTATGGAGATGCCTTTCTTGAAATCAAACTACTGCTTTGAGCAAGAAGCAGCGCTCCTTGATTTGGGGGGCAAAGAACCTCCTGAAGACCCAAGCCTTTCAGTTGTCGGGGCCAGCGTGCGTTGGGTGGGGCGAAGGAGAAGGGCGCTGCCTGGGGCGGGAGGGATGCGTGGACGACAGGGGGAAGTCCTGCCGCGGGCTGGGGCAGGGTGGCCATGCGGGGCTGGGCCACCAAATTTGTCAGCTGGGATTTCCCCTT